TATATGGCTGATTACAATACCATTACAAATGTTATCGTCAGTATACAGTCAATCACTTTCCAAGGACACATACCGATATTTACTGCTATCTTAACGACTGTGCGACCCTTTTCAACTGTTCAATTTGCTTTCAACTTACCTTTACAACAACCCTTTCGCGTTCGTGTCCCTAGAATGCCATCAAAAATCCACTTAGTACTTAAACAGTTGAACTAGCGTACAGGATATTCAAATCCCTCCCAACGGAGTTTTACGCATCATAAATGGGTGAGTATTCAGGTTTTACTCCACAGAATAACATTTACCATACCCATCACAGTATAAGCATATTTCTTGTAGATTTCACTCTGCAAACTTGCACCGTTTCTGTGAGATCACGTGATGATATCATACCGGTTAGTCAATGATTTTTCAGTTATTCAGTATTTTTCCTTGGTTGCTTGAAAAGCAGATGCAATTGGCCACATCCTCTCTTGCCTGATGCAGTCCACGTCTCCAACGTACCACTAAATACGCAAGTTTCCAGTCTTTGTGAAGATCAAATTGCTTTTGATGATGAAGTGTTTATGCTGTGACATCACGTATCCACCGTACGTTTCACACAACAACTGAATCTTGTTTCTTTAGATATCCAACTAACGGAAATGGTGGACAGAAAAGATAAAGTTTTTGAGCAAATTTTAACAAACAAAGCTAAGACCACTCACTGTATCTGACTGAGTGATTGGGACCAATACAAATCAGAGGTGACCTTTCAAAAGAGCTCCAAGGTCAGCTACAAGACGATCGCGATTCGACCCCCAAAAAGCTGACCGAATAACCGAAAAGCCATGGCAAACCACCAAAAATAATTATTTATATATAGAAACTCTATCAATTCGGTGATCAGATTGGAGTTTTTCCCACCACATAAAACAATTAACTGTACTGATTGAGGACAGTAGGCTGTTCATCCCACTAATGAGCTCCATGGGAAGCCCGTATAGATCGGCTTGACGACCAATGTTTATCCTAGTAAGTTTGTACATCACAACAAAAGGACCCGTTTTAAAATCAGCGCAACCTATCCGAATGGTGTATGACCACGGTCCAAGGATTACAGCAACTTAACTTCTTGAAACCCCGCAGTTTTCCAATTGCCAGTGAAGGGACTCGAGGTACAAAGGCAAGTGGCATGAGTGATTGCACTTCGTATGACATTCTTTAGCTCTCTGTGGATTAGTCTATAACAGATAAAATAACCAACACCCCAGCGTTCCCGTAAAGCGAGACACCTTGCACTCTCTACGTAAATAAAAATGCACAACTGCTACAGTACGATGGTCTAACTCAGGATTCCGTAGACCTAATGAACCACAGGAAAATGAACATTATGGACCACATTCTTGGGAACAAAGTGAGAAATCTGGTCCTCGTTGAAATGTCACTTCAAGTGAGTCAAGTCAACAGTTTCACGATCTCATGAGAGGCTGATTAACATAGAATTTGTGTGACGTTTCGATCGATCAGAGTCATTTCATTGCACACCCAGACTTTTCTGTCCGGTAACTTTACCCCAGACGAGTTCTGCGCCGATCTGTATGACTTGATTACACATACTCCCAAAGGCTTCTCACTGTGGGAAGCTGAAGTACCTAGCTTGCACTACACCACACTCACAATAATAAAAATAAATTACTTCCTTCTATTGAATATACAATGATACATTTTCATGAAGGGAGAAGCGGCTAGTCACAAGTTACTATACACCAGAAAATGAGTAGTCAGGCGGTGGCGGGATTCAAACGCACGTCCTCCAGAGCGGTAACCTGGTGACCTTTACCGCCCCAATTGGTTGATCAACGACATCAGGACGGCAGGTCGAATCACCCGCTACGCCTCGTCAACCGAGACTTGTTCATCATGCCGTGGTAGAATTAGTAGCAATAGAAAGCGCCTAGTTTCAGCTTTTACTATCATTGACCATGCACCTTCGTGCGGCAAATTTGGTTGCCGATTAGATAAAGGAGCACCAAGATGATTGGGATTTCTCTCTAGTTATTCCCCTCAGTCCCGAATCATCCCAGAATCCTCCTGTTTGCATCACCCACCGGATATCACTCAGTATTTTACGGGTATGGTCAACTAATCGGAAGTTATAGGATGGTAGAAACCAAAATCCCGCTTTCACTTAGCCGCACTAAATGGTTGTGCATTCTATCACCTCAGCCAACAAGCTGCTTCAGATAGAACCTCGGAAACTTTTAATTCAAAAGAATGTCTTGTCTCCGAAAGGAACATACAAGATCCTACTTGAATCATCAATTCGCGTTCTTCAGATCCGACCTCATCCTCATGCTTCACTCTCCACGTGTATCAGACCATCCGGCATTCGACGCTTGTTGTCGGGATTGTGCTAAGTGTAAAGGCTAAACGCTTACTTCTTGTCTGGAGTCCAGTTAGCAGTCAACTGTGCGCTGTACGTCTCCATGGCTCAGTAAGAGTCAACAGCTACAGAACGGAGCGTTTGTGCTTACCCGCCGTGATTGCAGTTCGTCTGAAATGAAGAATTTCACAGACTTTTCTCAAATGCTCTAAAGTGTTCGATAAGCAGACATCGAAATAGTCGCTGGTGACTTCAGTGCTCAAGTGGGATCCCTGAACGAAACAGAAAATTCCTTGCAGCCCACATGTGATCCCAGCAAAGAAGACGGACAACGAATATAGTCAACTTCGACTTTGAGCTGCAAACGATAGATAACACCCTTCTTAATATAAAAAAGCCATCGGAAAATTCTCCTCATCTACCAACCGTTATCGTTTCAACATTGGTGGATATAATCAAGAACAGCCAGCCAACAACCGGAGTGGAAATCGATGGATGCTATAGAAGCATCCGTCACAAACTCATTTGGTTCGATTCAGAACTATTTATCGGATGAATCGAACCTCCAGCTGTCCGCGATTGCCCTACACGTCGAATCCCGCCCTGCTTCACAGAGTGAATTGCATAAAGAATGTGGAACTACGCGTGGTCATTCACCCGTTTGGGATCAAATATCCTTAGGACCAGCACCATTGGCGTTCACACTGATCAGCAATCAGAACCCGTGTCAGTTAGGACCGCCCAAATGCGATCCGATCGACAGAGTCAAACGGAAAGAAAACGCGTGTGCGAAACTGGAACCGTGCGGATGAACTAAATGAGGTGATTTACCAAGCGGAGGCCGATGAGGAGAGCAAACGAGGAGGCAGCAGATCCCAGAGATTGTGCGGCGTAGGGAAGAAGGTGCACACAGTTCAAAATAGATGCATTCAATTTATCCGAGATAACTTGGTGTGGAAAACGATAGACAAGATGTCGGGGTGGGGGCAGTTGGGATGAACCAAAAAAACTCTTATCGGAAAGCGAAAAAAGAACATAAAACCCATATTACTGGAACGAGGAGTGGATTGGAAGGTGAAGATAGTTGTTTCTGTTTTTATGTATGCTTATGCAAGAATACATCACTCATGTATGCGCGCGTATATACAATGTTCCGGGGGCTGTTATGTTCCAAATGGATGTCTGATTTCATGATCTACGGACTGACTGTGTGTCAGTGTAGGAGAGGAGAGGGGAAGAAGACAGCATAAAAGTAACGATGAGATCAATAAATCGATTACATTTGTCCGATATTTGAAGACAGAAAGGTACATCGTACAAGTGGAACAAAAAGAGGAAAGAAAAGCGGGGACGGGACAAGATCACAGAAATCCAGTACTTGTGCTCAGAACAGTTATCCGGTGGGTGATTAAGCGAGTAAGGGGCGAGATTAGCTGAAGTGATACCAACAGACGGGAATGGAGACCGAGGCAGAGCGAGAGGAACGGAGTAAGGGAGGAGGAGGAGAGCGAGATGGAAGTGCACGAGATGGGATTGATCAGCTAATGTTCGTCTCCATGAAGGTGCCCGGTAGTTCCACATTTGCGGTGCTCGTGGTTGGGGCCGTGGCGCTTAACGTCGTACTGACCGCGGTCCAAGCTGTACGCACAACAATCATATGAGGAGGGAAATAGTGTATCAGGATCAACATCAAAAATATTGAACAAAAAATTCTGTCACTTCCTACTGGCAACACTTGTGGAGTATAATTCTGCGTTACAAAGCATAAGCAAGAGTGACGACGGTTCGTTGCTAAAAAATCATGCAATTATCGGCCGGTTGGTCGTTGGTTATTCCACCGAAAGCTTGCAGAGAAAACCGATACAACATGAGAGCACAATTTTCTGTTCAAAAAAAGCATAGAGAGAAGAATAATCGTACGCTGAAGACGTATCTAAGGAATGAAATGGCATAGATAAAAAAAATGAAGGATTCATTTGTAAGTTTTTAAATCAATGGCAATCATTCACGAGGAGTAAACGGGCCCAGTATCGTGCGACAATCTGTCGTGATTGTACCCAATTGTAATCTAGCCCCCGGGATAATTACCAACGGAACTACGGTAACCTCCAAAGCCGAAGTATAGTTTGTGGTGAGCGTCTGAGGTTGCGGCTAGTTACCCTTATCTATCACCTCGCGTCTCAAATAACCTCTGCTAAGGAAGCCCCAATCACTACCTTCCATTGAAGGAGGTATTTTCCCACCAGAGTGAGAGGACGAATAGCCGACAACTGGGGCTATAACCTGGTTGGTGGACCACTGGTAGTTCACCTAGGAGATTTGGCTGAAAACCCTGATTACGAACCAACAGAGAGGAGACGTACGAACCACACCCACACCTTTCCGGTTATGGCAATGGTCACCGACTCAACTGGGTGCCTTGGACGTTCGACCCCGTCCGAAGGGCGTGTGATCCGATGAACTGAACACCGGCTCCCAATGGATTACGGTTTTTCATACACCGTCCCGCTGCCTTGCTGGTCAGGCTTTGGCTGACCGAAGGCTCCAGGACCACAGAAAATTCAAGAAAATTTACATGCCTTGATCTGGAAAACCTGACAGTATTCAGTCCACAAGCCAAACATGGAACGCATTTCTTTTTAGAAAGATTATAGTACCATGAATTGTTTGGCACGCAGTCTGACCTTGGACGTGTACGAGATATAACATAATAGGGTAAATTTGAAGCTTAATTGACGGTAGGGATGGATGATAGAATAAGGAAGATAAGACTGACCGACTGAGTGTCCGACCGACCAGATTCAGCTAACTGACAAAAGCCAGATGGAAAGAAATAACATCTTGAACTGGCCAGTTCATACCCAATCAAACCGAGAACAAAACCCCAAACCGACTGAGAACGCAGCAACTGCCTATTGAGCACACAACTTTTGCCGCTGGCAAACAATAAAAATGAATGGAATGGAACAGTTTGGGAAACAGAAGAGGAAGGAAAATAACGGTGCACATTGTATTCTCTGTGAAACAACCAGACAATAGAGGTGAAAAAATGTCACCAAGGTCATTCGTTCATCTGATTTCCAGCCCGTACGTCCATTTCCAATCTATCCACCTCAACCCCGTTTAACTGCATTTTAGACCACTTACGGCATTCATTTCAATAACACACCCCATCCATGGTGCGCTTGGACGTGCCAGAGTGAGAAAGAGAAAGGGGGAGATAGAACCAGAGCGAAAAAGGGGGGAACCTGTGTGTGTGTGTGTGTATGTGACTTATTCATCCATTCTATTCACGTGAAATAAATGTTTGATTGGACTTCATTTGCATACGGAATCGGTCAATGACCTGATACACTGGATTTTTTTCCCGGCCATGACAGCCGAACCAGGCGCCTTGTCCACATACAAAGACTTTGCTACGTGTGTGTGTGTCTGTGTGTACGATTGTCCGATCGCATTACTGACTGGGATCTAAAAGTGTCATGATCTCAAAGTGACGAAAAAGATAAAATGAATGACACAATTGTACTCCGCTGTCTCCAGAGGAAACGAAATTGGGCCGATTTGTAGATGGTTAAAAGGCCATGGAATAAATCTTTGGAAAGCCTGTGGGAGAAGAATTCGGGGTGAGGTGGGTTTGTGAATGAATCGGGTGTTGTTAAGGCGGAACAAAGTGAGCAGAAAAGTAATTCTGAAAGACCTATCAACGGATGTGGGTGGTCTGGAGAAAAGCGAATTACAAAATGCGGCAGCGGTAGGTGGGAAACACGGGAACAGCTCGCATCTCGAACGGCATGCAACACGCGATTAGGAGCTGAAATAGGAACCCACATGGTGTTGGATACGATCGGTAAGGTAAAACGGAAATGATCCCCGTGTTCAGGACAGTAATCATAAATGAAAGGTAGTAGCAGTAGTAGTAGTACTGAAAACTATCATCAATTCACGCCAGCGAGTGTGTGTGTGTGTGTGTGAGTGAGGGATTGTGCATTTGGAACTGCTCGATTACGGCACTCAAACATCAAGTTAAATCACTAAGACAAGGGATCCCAAGATCAAGTGGATCAACGCACTGAAGAGGAACACAATGATTCGGACCAATGCGGACACTATAAGAGTTCGAAACACAGAGAAAATTACCTCGGAAAAAAGATTCGATGTGAGCAAGGACAGAAATAGCGAGTCGTAGAGCACAATGCTCATTTGGTTCAAACCAAGGGATTGATATGGAATGGATTGAACGAAAAATGTCGTGCTCTCTTTACGGCACAGTCAAAACACTGATGGAACGTGTCGGATCGAGTGAACCACTTGGTCCTGTTTCATGCATAGTTTACCACCACTACCACTGAGTGCTCGTTCATGACCGAACAATCGACTCGTGTTCCCCATCAACACAGCCATCGTCATCCACCCTGGGGGTTATCGGTAGCACAGTGCGTGTTTTTCCCCTATCGTTATGCACCTTTTTGGGAGAATAATTTATTACTCAGACAGTCGGGCATGCGGTCGAGCAAGGAGAAAGTAGAAGGAACGTGACAAACATTTGCACAACTCTTTCGTCCCGGATGACGCTGTTTATCTAGGGAGTAACGCAGAGAGTAGAGGACTACTAAATGGAGCTGCATAACCTGATAAACCTAATTGGTCACAAAACCGGGTGCGATTTCATCATCTGACATATTTTTAGATGGAATCATGAATTTGGGTTGCACTATCACCGAGGGATAAACAGAGGATAAATAAACAGTCCCCCCTTGCTCAGAATGTGCACTACGAAATTTCTTGCTACTATCTGGCAGGCACATTTTTCATTACAAGTAATCCACTGATTCATTGTGCCACACTTATAATCACTTGAGATTGGGAAACGTTACAGGCTTCTCGTTCCACATTCCTGTCAAGCGATCCCCAGTCTGCTCAAACCAGGCGAAATTTCGTCTTCCTTGATCCTGAGACATAAATAATTCCTCATATGCTTCAAGGCAGGAGCACGCTGACCATGAAATCATTCGTAGTTGAGCAGTTTCAGCTTATAAAACCATTAACGACGCACATTCGTGTGACGGTTTTGGTTGCTGTCAATTGAATATCAATTTGGACGGAGGAGCAGATGACAGTTTTGTGAACAACGATGTCGATTGTTATTTTTGTAGAGAAAAAGTGGAACGCTGGAAGCACTGTCAATTTGAAATAAGAGAATTCAAGTAGATAAGGGTTGCAAAGAGATTGGGCAGATGCAAGAGTGTCACTGTTGGCGGAACTCAAGCATACCACTGTGCCTCTAGCCACTGGTTACACTAATCCGGCAACTGAACATTTGTATGAATTTCACGAAAGAGGGTTTTGTTATATGGAAAGCGATGTTAACAAATATACTTTCCCGATCTGATGGACAACATATGATACCTCAGAATACGACAATAATCCTTGGTACTGCAATTTAGTTGGAAAGTGTTAAGATCGATTTTTTTCTGACCATCCATTTTGCTCCCCCAGCGTGCGAAGACCGTCCGTCGACGTAGACAGTGAGTGAGATAGGTGCGTCCTGGTCACCAGTTACCCTGTTTTATTCTGCCCTGACATTGAGTCGTCTGTCGAGGAAGCAAACCATGATTTGTGCCACCGACTCGTACGGCGTCAATGCGATCAGCATTACTCAATCCAGACTAACTGTCAGGTAAGATTCGGATGGAAGAGATACAAGCTCTGGTCATTGGGAATTCATCTTCAGCGAATCAGCGACGAAGGACCGCGATACCATTGTGTTCTCTTCAGTTCATTTCGATCTCTTCCGTCGACTCCAATGAGTACGTGCTCTCCATAACCAACCCTTTTATTTTCATTTGTGCATCAACCAAGTGTCGTGAACTGAACTGATATGAACAACCGAAGACTGGAGGGTGGATCGGAGCATTTTTATTTACTTTATATTTACTTAGCGTCGAAAAGCATCAACGCATTATTCTCGGTTTAAGTTTTGTTGCTAATTATTGATTTGGAGTTTCCCAGTCTCCATCAGCCTTTGAAAATCCGCAGTGTTTTCTAACACAGCCAACTCGACCCAGAAACCAATGAGCAATAAATAATATGAGACAGAGAAGAAAACAAGCATTAGGAAAAGAACGAGTAATATGTATCGAAAACAGCGTGGAACGCACATATCGCTGGATTGCTTATACGGGGACAAACTCCGGTCCATTCTGATCACTAGCAACAGTATAGAGCGAAATCCAGTGACGTTTTGCAGTCCGAATGACAGTGAACACAGTAAAGAAACGCATGCGCAACTTAGATAGAAGATAAGTGTGCTTGACAGAGGTGCAAGTCAAGTAAATGAATGTGAGCTCGTCAGTACATCGTCGACTCCCTAGAATGTAGTTTTTCTCACATTGAAGTGGAAAGCGCAAACACATACATACACAGCCGCAGCGTACTTCAATGATCGAAACTCACGCGTCCCAAATAACCTGTGACAAACCGCGTACAAATCGACAACCGAAAATCTCCAGTTAACCGATACCTTCCACACGCATATACACACAAACAATGTGATACGGAATACGGGAATGACACGTCACGCTGAAGTCACAAATGTCCCGCTCAAGCATAACTATGCGTTTAATCGCATGCTAGACTGCGCCAGTCAGGATCAGCACACAACCGCTCAGGTAGAACAGGCGACGAGTAACAGTCATTTATATAAAATCAAGTCACAGGCACGGGGAAGTTGCAAATCGTCTTCTAATAACACTCAACATCTCCAAGTTGCTGCATGACGTATATAAAAAATGATGGACACAGCCAGTTGGTCTCGCAGATACAGTTTGCGTAGGCTCGACAAATTGTAACAGGCACGCCATTGTGATAACGTACTGTGATTTGCACGGCATCCCTCCACTTGTGCACTGGATAGCAAAACGTTTCTGACCGCTATAGGCACAGTACCTAATATTTTCTCGTAATGATGGCACTGAAGGGAAATGGCAGAATAGGGCTAATTGCCATCGAGCCCCACCGTCTCTTTTCTATGCCCTGAGGATGCAAGAACATAAACAACCCGGAAATTCTATAAAACTATCTTCTTATCTTTTTATTTTACTTCCTTTTATTGAATATGCAATGGTACAATTTTCAGGAAGGGGGGGGGAAGGGCAGTATAATCAATGACAGAGCGGCGGTGATCAAGTCGTTAGGGTCATTAACTTGTCCCTCTGGGTGACATATGTTCGACCACTCAACCGTTCTCTTCGATGGAGCATATAAGTGGTTACAACCGCTCCCTTTCTGAAAGTTATTTGCACATTTTTATAGTAAATAAAATAAAGTGATAATATTATTATTTGATAAAACGTTTTGAATTGTAACGTCATATCAATGCATTACAGGAGGGGGGGTCATTTTAAACGTACTTGGAAACCAACCATGACCATGCCCAACAAACGAGATGAATTTGTAAGTTATTGGTCGGGAGAGCTTAGTATGTTTCACACACACTGTGCTAGTGTGATCAATGGTTATAAAGACAGACGGATTGCATAAACATGTTTTACAGACTTAGTTGAACCAGATCCATATTCTGATATCCCATCAGTATAAATCTAACCGCACACAAAGTGAACCATCCATGTTTGGAATCCATAGCCAAATGGGGACAAAAAATAGCAACCAAAATAATTAAAAAAAATAAAATACAGGATCATCACTGAAAGGTTGGAAATGCCAGGACTCTACTCATCGCAATACCACCGAAAAGAATGGGATCGGATTTCACAAGTCGCGGCTTCCGACACGATGCGACACATGTGAGAAGTGGGTATTATTCCCATTCTAATCAGATCCAAGGTTCGATCATCATGCAGTTGGGCCAACGGATTCACACTGTTTATGAAACCCAAATGGGTCTAAAAAGCTATGCAGCCAACCTTATCAGTTCCCTACATTTTTACCTCTGTACGCGACGAATTTGAATTAGAATTTCAAAGAAAAAAACAATACACTCAAGATAAAGAACTGTCTGACGCTAAAAGTTTCCCACATTCTCCGTTCTATCAAGACAAAGCCAAGGAAATGAGAAGTTCACACAGTTCAGTTCAGTTCACACTTTTCATTGCTTGATCTGTTATGCCCTCTGGGGTAGCGCAAAGCTCTCTCATAGCGACTACACAGTGTTATAAAGACACCAAATATGTCCACTCAGAGATTACAAGCAGTAGCACAATGAGAACAAGGTGAGTCTCTCGTCAAGAGACGACACATAGAGAGAAAGCAGGTGACCGAAGAACAAGCACAAAACGACAGGGATACGTCTTGGACGACTTGTGACCATGATTACAGTGACTATACTTGAATATAACGTATATCGAGCAAGACATTCCGGAAACCAGGAATCTTTGGCCCGCAACTATATGACAGCGATCACGGCTCAAAATACGGTGGATGACGGGTACAATTTGAAACGAGGCCTAACACTGGTAAGGTAAGCGCGTATTGACAGAACAGTAACGACATGTCAGAATGGAAAAGGAACACCATGGTGTACTTAGTCTTTGGGGTGAGAACGCACATGTTCAGTTAGGCCATTGATCGAAAATTCGACCACATCCTAGCTGACAATTCTAGAGTGCAAGTTGGACAGGACTACTGGATCCTAGAACGCGAGTTCGCCGATGATGTCACCATCCTCTGGGACGTTTCGGACAACCTGCAGCGATCCTCCATCGGTTCACGCAATTCGGCAAAGGAATCAGCGCAAAACAAAAAAACATCCAAGATCAAAGCCATTCTATATGCTGCAACCCCATTTTAATCCCCATCACAAACGATGAGAAATCAGAATTCATCAAGTGCCTCAGAGATTTTAGACTCATTCATCCAGTTTAACAGTCAAGTTAAAGACGAAGTTCCGCTGCGCGTTGATATCACTAAAACGGTTTTCGTACATTTCCGCCAAATATTATGAACACGCAACCAAACTGGTAAATCCAGTACGAATTCAAGGTCGTATGTTCGAATCAAAGTGCCATCACAGTCGCCGTCACCACTTTGCTCGATCGGGAGGTTCCCTACAAATAAGTATCTCCCACTTGCTTTATATTACGAAGTGCACCGATTATCATATTTTAAAAGATCTTAATTTGCACCGTGAACGAGGGGAAAAGGTTTACAAATTGAAAAAAAAACAAGAACACCAACACAACGTTTTACAGACCAAAGCAATCAATCGGGAAAGCAGCGATGGCGTAAAATGGGAAACACTTCATTTGCGGATTAATCAAATAACGGTGTAATCCGTTTTGAAGTGGATATCTGACAACCACGAAGCGGCCGTTCGTGACATTTTCTAAATTGATCGATCGAACCAAAACGTCCATACACACACACAAGGATATATACATGGACACATACAAGAACACTGGCAGGAAGAAAGGATTAGAATCCAATTTGGTGCAGTGCGGAACGATGATGATGATGATGAATTGAATAGAACCGAATTCGAGAGCTTGATCGCAGTCAGTCTAAGGCTCTACGTGCGCTCACGATTGGAACATCGGTTCAAGTCAGTGAATTGGTTTTGTATATGGTCAGATGATTCGACGAAAAACTACTCAGGCAAAAAGGGTACTTTGAAACCCGCGACAATTGTTAGTTGCAGCCGAGAGGAAGAGGAACTTGGAAGGATTGTGATGAAGTGGGAAATGCAAAAGCCCCATTAGAGGTCAAAGTAGAACTTCGAAGAAAAAAAGAAATGAATAACGTACAAGTGTAAATTTCATGAAGTGCGCATGGCAGGATTTCAACGTTTATTTTTCGGCTCAATTTGTAAACAAATGCGTCAATCCAGTAATAAATCGCAGTTTCTGCGATATACCATCACACCTCTTCCCATTCGATGAGAGCCGATTCGCGCGGTCAACGGGGTGAGGAAAACAGTCCCATCGATTAGCGAGATTCGGTCACAGTAAAACCAAATTTGACAAATTGAGTAAATGCACTGCTTATGATACTCAGTCATGGAGCATTCACTGTTGTGAACAAACGATACGACCAATCACGAGGTCTTCAAACAGGAAGCCTATGAAAAACACCGATAACCGTGACATTCTATTTGGTGATATGTGGAACACATTATTTTAAATTTTATTACACACATCTTTTGTGTGGTGAACAGCAGACGGGGTAAGCCCCATATTCACGAAGACCCGCTGTTTGAAGATAAAAACCGGTAACCTAAGCCCCAGTGGCTTAGATACAGTGGCGAATCACATAAGGTCCAGTTAGGTCGAACCAACATAACACGTTGTTCAAGAGATCACCATCTGCAGAGATTTAGTCATTGAGTACAATAACAGTAGTAGTTGCGAGGTAAATGAATGGTAGTCTTGCATTGCTCACCTGTTTGTTGTATGACGTAAGAGCCATTCGATCGATGATTTACGGCAACATGCACGGTGAATTACGCTTGACGGATAGGTGAGTAAACAGAGACCTAACAGCATGAGATTAAGAACAGGACCACAGTCCGGATCGTCAGGTTCGGGTCGAAGAGTAAGTATTTGGAACGAAACACAAAATAGCGAGTACAGCGGTTCCAAATTTGCCTTTAAGAAAATGAAACGGAGATGCGTGTTCATCCCCCCCCCTCTCCACCATCATTGTAATCATCATTCATCACCACCACCACTTAACCACCCCACTGTCTAACGGATGCACTTTGACTGGTCGCTTTCCTTTGTCAAAAAATGTTTGCACAATCTTGTGCTCAAAACAAAGGAAGTAAAGAGCAAGACAGAGAGGAACATTGACACGATAAACGGGCGAAATACGAGAAACTACCGTTAGATCGCGGAGGCGAGATCCTCTAGCTCTGAAACTCCCGGGGTGACAATCACAAGAGAACCTCAATAAAGGAAATAAAAAAACATTGTTATCCACCAATGGTCGCTAACACCTGAATCAGTTAGGTGACCTCAAGCGAAGTGAAAAAAAACCAATAATACCAGCTAATTAGGATAAAGCGAAACAACGGAAAGACGCCGTCTCTTCTTGAACGCAAAATGTCGTGCCAATAACAGCTGTCGAACGCATTGTTCCCTTTCTATGGGGTTGGAAAAAACCAAGTCAGTGAACTTCTCACCGAACAATAAAAATCCGGCAATATCGCAGTGAACAGAAACAGTCGGGTTCTGGAATGGCAAATTCCGAAAACCATGATGAAGTTCCCATCAGAGAACATTGAGCCTGGTCAGTGCGATTCAAAGTCACAGAAATTTCCCTCAATTCAAATGAGTGATGAGACTCTGGAGACGAAACCGGATACGCTCACTTGTTTTTTGTAAGCTGTAGTCGAATAGACTTGCCATTTCTTATACATCAAAACGGATAAACGATATACTGGACCGAAACTTACCGGAAGCAACAGTACTGTTCAAATCGTCTCCAGGCTTGGCCGTGTACCGGGTCGAAGTTTCTTCTTTACTCGTACCGCGACGAATTGCGTCGAACGCGGCTCCAAACAGCAAATCCTCATCCACAATCGGTGGAGGGGGATTGAACTTGGTCGGACACGGCCAGGCGGTAGATGGGGCCAATGTACGGGTATGTGTAGAATGTGTGGACCTAGCGAATGTATTGGATAACAGGATAGAATGACCGACCATTCATGCATATTTGTTGGTACGATGCGACATGACTTTCAGCACAACCAGTACATGTGAGAATCAATAGGAAAAAGATCATTTTCCCCTATAAATCTGATTATTCCCTATTTTTCTGATTATTTTTGTAAAACTTGAATTTCCGGATTTTCGCATCAAAAAAAACTCAAGTCAAGTAGAGCTTTATGCACCCGATAGGATGTATTTTCAGCATTGTCGACAAGTTACAGTGGGGAAAACGCTAAGCATTGGAAAAGAAGAAATATACATTTACTAAATGAAAAACAAACGGATTGGATAAAACCCTAATGTGACAGATGACTGTTCAAGTCAGTAATACTATTTGCTCAGTTGACTAAGATACGAGCAAAATAAGGGATCATGTTGTTTTTGTTTATAGTGGTGCGTTTTCAACATGTTTGGATCAAGGAAGATTGTGTGACAAAGTAACTCCAACATATTTCACAAAGTTAGCTTTGGGGATAGTTTTACTATTAACAGAAAGTTCAGGCTGATTACTCAAAAGGGTTTGATAAGGCATGCCTGGTTTAAGGCTAAAAGAAACATCCAGACATTTATCTACATTTAGCATTAAAGATCGGGGAATCGACCAACTAAAAATTTTGTTTAGACAAACTCGAAGTTGACCGAAACAATCAGGAACAGGCGAGGGACAACCGACCACCACGTCATCAGCATACTTGCAGGTGATAAAGTTGGGAGGGATGGGAAGGTCCTTAATATACAGTGGAAAAAGAAATGGAGACAAAATTGCACCCTGAAAAACTCCAGAGTTAACTTCTAGCAGGGAGGACGATTTACCGTTACAAAAAGTGTATTGCGTCCGATGAGTGAAGTAATTAATTAGTACATTCAGCGAATTAGGTGCCAGACCACAATCCGAAAGACGTAGAATGAGAATGCCGAGGTCAAGTGATCCGAAAGCATTAGCATAATCAAGAAAAGTTAAACGGACGATAAGGATGAAACGGAGTGAACAACGTGAGCAAC